GTAGGGGTAAGGTCTGCATACACACTACCCTCCCCAGACCCCACTAGTGAGATTATACTGGGTCGTTGTTGTTGTTGTTGTTGGGAGGGTCAAGACGGCAGGATCAAGGTTCAAAACATAACCCCGCATATTGGATGCCATTGTGTGGCAAACAAGCCGATGGAGAAACGTTGTTTTACCACTACCTAGTCATCAAATTAAAACAAGTTCTATAAGTTCAACCCTTCAACATAAAATGAAAAAAAAACTTGGGCAATACTTGTGTTTAACCAATAGTATATATATCAACTCCATAATCCAAATAAACAGGACTTTACCAGCCATCCCAACCACTATGATAATGATCGGTTTTTTCTTGAAAGTGGAGGATGATCCCTCGATATTAAGCTTTTTCATCGAGTTAGATATGTCATCTTTCCCTGAACCTATGACCAAACAAATTAGGAAGAAAAAAAGAAGAATATTAATCAAGGCTTAGCTTCTTCTGTTGTACGGTGGTCATTCTGAAGAATTGTAAAAGTAATCCAAATTAGGAATATTACCTTACTGTCAACTTGCATCGAACCCTCAACCTCTTCTGGTACCTTTGAATCAATCTCCATTCAGGATATCTGCTAAATCAATGAGGTCTTCGGTCACCCTCAATGTGATTATTCCCCCAATTTAAAATAACTACGATTGTATCAACAGTAAGAGCACAAAGGAAGCTAGCAAAGATGGCGATAATTAATAAATGTAGGAACATCACGAAAACCCTGCATCAAATTCCATGAGGATGCTGCCGAAGGCTAATTGTTTTCAAACTACAGTGGATAATTCTTTCTTCTTCTTCTGGTTAAGCAAAAAGCCCAAACTAATTTTAACTTTTGATAAAGCTCAAGCTAGTGATATTGTTCTCAAGCTAGTGATACTGTTTTCGAACTAGTGCAGAAACTTCTCAAATTCCATGCAGAACATGACATAAATTGTCTCAACAGCACTGCATCAGCTTTAAACGACTAAAGAAAAAACATAGTGTCGTTGGGCTACGATTCGGGGCACTCATCTTTTCATTTTATATACACAAATGGATTTAAAAGAGTTAGTAATAATTATGACAACCTAAAGCAAAATATAAACTTTAATCATCTCTAAATGGCTAGATTGCTTCCCATGTTATGTTGAATACGGACCCCATTCTAATGGCAGTTCAAGCTACGATAATCAGAACAATAAAAGATTATAGTAAAAAATACTTTTAAGTAAACACAAGCCACGAATAGAAACTCAAATAATAACCCGACAACATAGAGCACCTTTTAACACCCCATTCTATGAAGATACTCAAAAATTAAAAAAAAAAACCGTATTGAAGCTCATTGAAGAGCAAATAATTTAGCGGAAAATCATTTGAACAACTACTGAAACTCAAATGCCAAAAGTCTTCATTTTTTTTTCTAACTTATATGTCAATGTCATCAGCTCGGCGAACAAAGTCCGCAAGTTTTTACAAAATATTCACAACACAAACTAACAATGGCCAGAGACAGGAAGTTTTTGGGACAAAGCTAGATTTATGCAAGGCAGCAAATAAATTTCAATAGTACTTTTACTTTTCCCAGAAAATCAATGATGTAAAAACTAGTTATCTTGGTGGAACTCGAGCAACTTACTGAAATTGGTAGGGGAAGACACGCCGGAGTGGAAGCAATGGATGGTTTTGCTTTTTGACGGGAGGGAGAATAAGTTTACACTATGTTTGGATCATTGTTACCCATCGTTTTATAATGTATTGTATTGTATTGTACTGTATTGTATTGTATCGTTTTATGGGTACAATGTTTGAATAGATCGTATCGTTTGCTGTTGTTAAATAACATTTTTGTTATTTGGTTTGACTGTATCGTACTATACTGTAACTGATAGGTTCACTAAAATACCCCCGATTGTTTAAATAAAATTTATCAAGAATTACACTCCCCACGGTGTGGGATAATACTGGGTATGTTGTTGTTATCAAGAATTACACATAAAAATAATTTAAGAAAATATCTTTTTACTAAATTATCATTAATTACGTAGCTTGGAAACAAGAGCAAAAACCTGGAAAAAAAAAAGGTTAACTAATATTAGCAATAACAAAAAAAAATTAAAACGATGGAAAGAGACAAAGAATCAAACGTTGGATAAATATAACGGGGCAAGCCAACTTTAGAAAAAATTGAAGAAGACAAAGTAGGTCAATAGGTTGGAGATTTGGAGTTAAAATAAAAAAAATTAAATGATAAAATAGAATTATGGAGTAATAAGTAAGGGCATAATTAGAAAAGAAAATAAGAAACGATCCCACCACACCAAATCGATTATTTCATAAAATGGGGCTTTTGGTTGTTCCGGAACAATGCATTTAACAATACGATACAATCGATTTTAAATAAATCAAAAAAAACATTGCTTTAGAGAGAAAGAACATGAAGTAAATACTTTGTTATACTTAAAAAAACGGGGGAAAAAAATAAGAAAGGAAAAGGTGAGAATGAGCCCCAATAATATTAGGTCGGAGAAATAAACAAAAAACATTAGTAGTTGCATGTTTGCCCAAACCTCTATCATCAGCTTATTTTAAAAAGTAATTTTCAAAAATATACTTTTTTAGGAAGTAATTTATATTTAGTTAATCTATACTATATTAAAAGCAGGAAGGCCCTTAGCGAAATATCGTTCGCCTTTTTTACCCTTTAAAAATAGATTTCATACTAAACAAAATAGTCATTTGATTATTTTTCTAATATTTAGGACTTCAAAATCAACTAATATTCCGCTTATTAAATCTTTCCTTATTTGGATGATGTAAAAATTCCTAATATTCAGGACTTCAAAATCAACTAAATTCCTTATTAGGAATTTTTACATCATCCAAATAAGGAAAGATTTAATAAGCGGAATATTAGTTGATTTTGAAGTCCTAAATATTAGAAAAATAATCAAATGACTATTTTGTTTAGTATGAAATCTATTTTTAAAGGGTAAAAAAGGCGAACGATAGTTCGCTAAGGGCCTTCCTGCTTTTAATATAGTATAGATTAACTAAATATAAATTACTTCCTAAAAAAGTATATTTTTGAAAAATACTTTTTAAAATAAGCTGATGATAGAGGTTTGGGCAAACGTGCAACTACTAATTTTTTTTGTTTATTTCTCCGACCTAATATCATTGGGGCTTATTCTCACCTTTTCCTTTTTTTTTTTTTTTTTTTTTTTTGG